TATATATATATATAATTTAAAGAAATATTCCCTATTTTCTATTTTTGGTTTACCTAATGAACCCCTGGTTTCAATCACTTGTATCAGAGAGCTCTGGGCCATTTCCTTTATTTGTAGCATTAATTTGAGAGACTTCATGAAACAGCAGTAAAGAGCAGGATCTTTGGGGTGTGAACAAGGCATGCTATTTGAATCCTCTAACTCTCCGTTGCTTCATCTTTAAAGTGGGTATAATAGATGCCTCACAAAGGTGGTTGAAAATTAGATAAAATCATTTCTGTAAAGTGCTTAGCACATTACCCAGCACACACAAAGCATTTAGTAAATGCCAGTAACAATAAAAATGATATTGATGAATTAATAAACAGTTACTAATTTCCTGGTACTGCTCTTGATGCCGAGGTCACAAGATGAGTGAGCACAGTCCCCACCCCACAAAACTCATGGTCCAGTAGACAGAAGAGAGGCAACAGATCATCTTGGTCTATGTATTCATTTAACACTATTTGTTCAGCTTCTAACCTGCATTAGTAAATTACTGTAAAAATTGCTATAATGATAAAAACATGTCCCTACTATCATAAAGGCTAAAGTCTATTGCAGAAAAACAATTACTAAATAAAATTCATACAGTATACAATAGAGGAAATTTACTGTCCACTGGGGGAGTGTGTGTGCCAGGATGGGATTCCCTGAGGAGTACATCCAGAGCTGAGAATTGGAGTTTGCCAGAACATTCACTGAATAAGGGGTGGGAGGAGAGCCAGCATTCATACTGAGGGCACCACTGTGGGAGGACACAGGGTAAATGTTTTGACAGAGCTTCTGTGGGAGGCATGGGGAAAGGAAGGAATAAATTTTTCTGTGTTTGGGAAAGTGGCATGACCCAGGAAGGCTTCACAGAGGAGGCAACATTTGGCTGGATTATGAAGAACAAGATGTTCTCTCAACAGGCGAGGTAAGAAGAGCTGTCCAAGAAAAGTAAGCTGTGTCTACAAATGCTGGAGTCCGGGTTGGTGAGACAAATGGGGAGGGATAGCTAGAACCTGGCCAGCAAAGCCCAGGGCACCCAAAGGAGAGGAGGAAATTAACTGGAAAGGCAGTGCCGTAATCTGGGGAACAGGAAATGAGGTCCTGGCCTGGGCCCTTTCCAGAGAAGAAGAGGCAGAGCCATTGCACTTCCTCTGGGTTACAAAGGGATACAGCAATGGATGGGGTCATTGGCCTGCAACAGCCTGGTCCTTGGATGGGACCATACAAGGCTGACTGAGAGGGAAATGCAAGCACATTTTCCAATGAGTAGAGAAGTAAACTAAATTATTTCTATGAACAGGAATTGCTAGAGGCTTCATGGAACAAGTGGGATGTAAGATGCATCTTCAACAGTGAGTGACATTTGAGAGGTGACAATCCACAGGCTATGAGCAGCAGCCCCAGATGGGAAAGCACCAAGGAGTGAGGAAGCTTATGAGCAAAAAGTATTTCTTAGTTTTACAGTTTCTAAATTTATCTCTTCTATGTTCTGCCCCTTTAGTTTAATTTCTAACAATATGATTTTAAACTAATTAATATAAAATTAATCCATACATTATCTAAAGAAGATAATGACTTAATATTACTTCCACATCCCAGGCAATAAGCTTTTGAAGATGCTTCTAGATCTCCACATAAAAATCTGGCAAAATTAGTGAAAGAGAAATTCAAGGACTGTTCTTCTTCAGTTTGTTTCTCAAAGTAACAGTGTACCTGGGAAAATGTACAGATTATAGTTCTGCATTACTTTAGATCAGAGATTTGCCATGGAGAGATTCTCCCCCCTCAGGGGGCATTTAGCAATGTCTGGAGACATTTTGGGTTGTCACAACTGGTGGGGGCTGCTACAGGCATTAAGTGGGCATAGGCAGGGGATGCAGCTGCATAGAACAGCTCTTACAACACAATTATTCAGAGAAAGAATTATCAATAGTGCCAAGGTTAATTCACCTTGTTTTACACCATGAAATAACCTTTAAGACTGGCCATCTGAAATCCTTCATTTTGCAGATGTGATGCATAATGTCAGATTTGTGCACAGCTGGTTAATTAACAGTATATGGTGTGGGACTCAGGCTTTATAGACCAGTGATTTTCTCTCCTGATGCACTAGATGTCCTGTATGTTTTGTATCAAATGGCCAGCATATTTTAATGCTGTCAGCTCTTAATTCCAACACTGAGAGAGGAGTTACTATCTAGATGCCAATTGCGCAGGGAGAAATATGGTTTTGATCTCGGGCTTCTGATGTTCCAGAAGAAGGAGGGGAGCAGGGGCTGCCCCATCTCTGGGGTCCACAGCAACAGCACTGGAGCCCCAGATGGGGCTGACCAGGAGCATCAGTGTGTGAAGGCCAGTCCGTGATGCTGACACTCTTTAATTATGAAAGGATGAATAATCTAGTTCTGCTTTCTTTCAGGAGACAAGGGACTTGTCCAAAGCATGAATGCTTCATGGACAATTTAACAAATGTAAATTGTGAAAGAGAAAAACAAATGTGTGAATATGAGAACTAGGGTCCCTGATGAGCCCACAGCTTCCAAACTCCTTCCTTCACTGCAGAATGTAAGAATCCTTCTGTGCCTGCAGTGGAGTGGGCTGTGGTGGGAGGGGGCTGGACCTGTAGGTCAGAGTCGGTGAGGTGCCCTAGCCCCTGGCCTCAGTAATGCCACTTACTGAGCATGTCAAATTTGGGCAAGATAATTTCATTCTCAGGGCCTTGGTTTCCCCACCTAAGAAATGATGAAACCTAAGTCAGAGCTTCACTATTTGAGTTTATCTTTGGGATCAGGCTTAACATGCCTCATTTTCCGGGTGAGGAAATTAAACTTTGGAAAAGCCAAGTTATCTCTTCCAGGTTACAAAACTAGCAAGAGAACAAAGGGGACAACGGATCAGATTTTATGCAATATCAATGCTTGCTAGCAAGTTTCAAAAGGCTTTTCTGTATTAGCAGAAGACACTTGAGGCTCTAGGAGCATTAGGGGCTGCAATGGCTTTGGTCTCATTATCAGTGGCATTCATTTACCTATTCTTTCTAAAGGACACTAAGGGGCTCCTATGTATCCCTCATCTGGCTTCCTCACACCTATACCCCGAGATGGGCATCTTTTTTAAACCCATGAGGCCTCAGGATGGTGGCTCCTTCTCTTATCAGCTACTCCATGAAGACTGGATGGGAGCTCATTCCCTACACAGTCACAGAAACAATCACTGCTGCTAGGAAAAGCCAGATGGACACCAAGAAAAGGCTAATGTTTCACCATGGCTGAACCCTCTCATCTCGGAGGCTGTCTTGTTTAGGGAAATGAGATTTTCAAAGAATCAGGAGCAGGTAAAAGCCAGAAAGAATCAGATCAGAGATAGACTCATCAGCAAATTCCCACACCATTTAATTAACCAATCCTTCTGAGGCTTACCTGATGCTAAGTGCTCTTGGGTAATAGATTGGTAAAAAGAAAAGACACTTGTGCCCTGAAATTGGTTTTTGTTTTCCCAAGATGACACAAGACTAATAAAAATGGTCTGCACCTCTGGAATCCGCAAATATTAGGAAGATCAAATAAAATTTCTAAAGTCATTGAAACGTCCTGCTTCTGAGGTAAATTAGGGCTCAATCCTTTGAAATCCTTAAGCCTGAGGCTGGTGGGCTGTTCAATCACATTATGTGCTGCTTTGGAACTACCCCTACAGTTTGGTAGGCAAGAGGCCATCCACAGGGAGGCCTGTGGGGAGAAAACAGCAAAAATGTGTTGTCAGGATGGTTTTAATTGGTGATCTGAGTTACAAAGTCTCACTGGGTAAGGCGAATTTGAGCTTCAAGCTTTATCTCCTGTTCACGTTTTGCTGTTTCCAGTTTGATGAACAATATGAACAATTCAAATCATTTCCTGGGAATAACTGGCAAACACTTGGCCTCAGAGAAGCAGCATGACCCTCTGTTTCCTGTGCAGTGCGAGGGCTGACCTGCATGCCCTTGGAACTCCCACTTAACTTTCAGTGTTACATCATTAATCAGAGGAATATATAAACTCTGATTTAGTTAGTACTGATTTAAGAACTATAAAACTGCACCACTTTAAAAGTCTGTGCAGACATACCTCTGCAAAAGTCTGAACCACATTTAGTTTTTCTTGATTAAAAAAAAATCTTCTTGCTTAATTTTGGTGATTTTCTTTTAGAGAAAGCATGAAAAAATATAACTATCTAATTCATTTTTTTCTTACTATATTCAACAAAGATCTACAGAGCATCTGAAAGGCACCACAGTTCTGCTACAATGGGGCTCAAGTTTTCAAGTGACTGCAAAGCCCAGTATTCTTAAAGCTTAAATATTAACACACAGTTCCAAACTTGTAATGCCCCAGAGGCACAGCATAAACATGCCCTCAAATCTTCTCTGGAAGGGGACATGCTCAATCTACTTTATTCAGGATTCACAAAGGTGGAATCAGAGTGAATGAGCTCAAAATTAAAAATTAAAGCACAAACAAAAATATAAGCCATTCACAGCGAGAGTAGCACAAATGAAAAGCAAACAAACAAGCAAGATATTTAAACTCCTTAGACCATAAGATAATATCACCATTGTTGTATGAATGACACTAAAAAGTGAGATACAATCAAAAACTTATCATGTAAGGCCATATATTTTTATAAAAGAACCAAATAGAACTCACAGATGTGAAAAATGTAGCTATTGCAATTAATGTCACAATGGACAAACTAGACAGCCCAAATGCACACAGGTGGAGAAATAGTTGGGAAACTGGATGGTAGAACTGCATACATTTACCTAGAATGCAACACAGAAAGTTAACATGGGGAAAATGGAGACTAAAATGGGCAATCTGTTATCTTAAAAAAATTAAAAAATAAAAAACAGGTGCTGGCAATATTATGGAGAAAATAAAACACTTATACACTGCTGGTGGGAATATAAGCTAGTCTAGCCACTGTGAAAAGTAGTGTAAAGATTTCTCCAAGAAGTTAGAACTCTCATTTGACCTAACAATCCCACTACTGGAAATATACCCAAAGGAAAATAAATTGTTCTACCAAAAAGACACATGCAGTTGTATGTTCACTGCATCACTATCTACAATAGCAAATATATTGGACTCAAACAAGATGTCCATTAATGCTGGGTAAAGAAAATGTCCTTTGCAGCAACATGGATACAGCTGGAGGACATTATCCTATGTGAACTAATGCAGAACAGAAAACCAAATACTGCATGTTCTCACTTACATCTTGGAGGTAAGCATTGAATACAGATGAACACAAATATGGGAAAAACAGACACTGGGGACTGCTACTTATCCACCACTATGCTCATTACCTGAGTGACAAGATCACTCATACACAAAATCCTCAGCAACATGCAATTTACTGAAGTAACAAACCTGCACATGTATCCCCAGATTCTAAAATGAAACAAAAAAGGCTCAAGAATATGCTGCCTACAAGTGACTCACTTCACATTAAATAAAGAAATAAATACATAAAATGAGCAATCTGATTTACATCTAGCAAGAGTCCCAGAAGGGGCAGGGTAGGAGAGATTAGAGAGACAGTCTTCAAATGGCTGTGGATTTCCCAAGTTAATGAAAGACATGGATACCTTGTTCAGGAAGGACAAGGGTGTAAGACATCTTACTTGATGTAAGATAAAACGTATGAGTTTTATAGGACAGAGATAGAGCCTTAGACCAAGCAGAGAACATGCATTCTTCACCAGTATACTGGCACAAAAACATTCCTGTTGGTGCACTATTGAAGAGGCCAAAGAATTAGTAGCATACAGACCATTTTCTTTGACCTCAGTATAATCAAGTTAGAAAGCAATAACTATAATTGAATGATTAAAATTGTGAAGATGCTAGTATCATTAACGTTTTTCCATTAAAGTTCTCATGGATAGTATACAGGCGTCTAGTGCATAGGATGCAATGCTGTCACTCAGGCTCTTCAAGCCTGGCTTTAATATTTGGTTATTGAGGGAATGGGGCTTGAGATGGTTTGCTTTTTCCTTCCCAAATAATTTCATCTCATTGCTATATTGATTAAGAAACTGTTTATATAGGAGTCTAGTTAAATACACTTGAATGTATATAAAAGCCCCCTTCCTTCTTGCTGTGTTGCCTTAGGTGAGTAAATTAAATTCTCTGTGGTAAGTTTTCTCATTTGTATAATGAAGGTGATAATAGTACCTACCTCTTAGTATCATTGAAAATATAAATTTAATAACTCTGTCTCATAAATATATATATAAATTTAATAATATGTGTAAAACAGTAATAACTGTGTTTATTACCTAATTTAAAAAAATTGACGATTACTTTTTTGGTTTTAAAGCTATATTGATTGATTTATCTTACTCTGCAATCAGAGATTCAGGTGAGACTGGCCTACAGTAACTGGAACGGGGAGGGGCGTGGTGGGGGTGTGGAGAGGACCAAGGTTCAGAGTGTGCATATTCTCTGAGCTAAGCCATTGGAAAATCTGGGAGAGAGACTTTACAAAGGCATGCAGCGGCCCTTCCCAGCAAAACTCCATGTTCGGATGCAGGATAGACACTGGGATAAGGTGAAATCCCCTCTAATTTTCTCCTTCACTGAGTCCTTTCATAGAAACAGGCTCTGCAAACACTTTGTGAGGTTCCTCTAGAAATGGCTTCAGCAGCTTAAAAGTCACATAATATAGAAAGGTGACCATGTGGCTAGGTGAATAGATTAAACAGTTCAGTCCCCAAAACAGCAAAGGTTGAAAGGAAATGTAGAAAAAGGCAAAGGGAAGAGGTACATTCATAAAGTTGTTGCAGAAGAAAGTCAGTGATGGGGAACGACAAGAGGAAGATTGTGTTCCCCACGATTTGGTCAATTTGAACGTTATGGAACGTGAAATAATCATGATTCATACGTATTAGTCAAATTAAAAAAAATAAAACAATAGCTGTATATAAAGTGAAACATTAAAGAAAGACACAATGGCCACCACAACAAAAAAATTCTCCAAATTGTTAGTTTTCTTATCTGTTAAATAGAATATAAAATTTACTCAGCTGGGTTGTTTTGAAGAATACATAAGATAATATGTGAAATGTGTTTGGAATAGATAAACGCTTAGTCAATTTTAGTCATTGTAATTAACCACAATCCCTCTATATAAGATTTTTTATAATATATGGGAAGTCCCTCATGGACTTTTTTCTATGTGTCGCTTTTAATAAAAATAGTTATGATCATGCTGTTTGTATAAAATTTAGATGATTTTTTTTTCTTTTACAACTCACGTCCTACTTCTGTTTTAAAAAATACCTAATAAACTCTCTTTTAAACTCTGTCCAATTTTTACTTGTCCTCGGTACTTCTCTCGGCTTTCTGTCCTTTTTGCTTTAATAGGACAATACTTTCTTGGAAGGAAATGATTCTCATTTCTGTCATAATGTGCTGCTTGTTCTCAGGCCTGGAGGAGCTCTGTCTGGGAAGTTAAGTTAGCCAGCCAGGCGGCCAGGGCTCTGCCCCAAAGACCCTTCTCCTTCTTCATCTTCATGAAAGACTGACTTCATGCATGTCCTATTCACCACAGTGTCTCTCCCTGCTATTGGTGCATCCCTTTCTCTGAATAGAGGGCACAGACATAAATGACTTGTAAGTGACTGGCGTCATCATATCCTAATAAAGAGAATAATAACAGACCATTGAATGTGTTCTCATGGAGTGATTTACATGTTTATCATCACATTCAATTTCCAAAAGGCTCTGTGAAAGAGACAGAGAAAACACTATTATCCACCCTTTACAAAAAAAAATAATAATAAGATTTTTTAAAACCACATCTGAAACTCAGAGAAGGGACACAACGTGCCCAAAATCCCATGGTTGCCGCCTTAGCTCTGGTGTCCTGACCCTAGGCTAGCTCTCTTTTTACCCAAATCAAAGAGCTATTTCGCTGAAGGAAACCAGGAAAAAATCAAGCAGGCCAAAGATTTGAATTTTCATATGAGGATGTTAGGCCTAATGAATTTTTCCAAAGTTGTAGTTAGCATTTATACAGAGCTCTATGTTTGATTCTACTTTTACATTTAAAATTCATTAGCCCCTTTAAGAGTTGAATGCTGATTAACCCAGTGTGAAGGTGGCAAGACTCGGAGGGGCCTCAGAGCAAATCCAGCACCGATCCCAGACAGCAAACCACACTAGGATCCAGTTGCTGCTTCCTGCAAACCGCACACCCTGGAAAACTTGGGACAGACTCTCGGAAAGATTTACTTTCCTAAGTCTCAGTTTCTCTCATCTTCAGAATGGGACTTATAAACGTAACTAAGTCACAAACTGTTTTGGAGACCAAAGAATATGTGAAAAAAAACAAATCAGTGGGCCAGGCATGGTGGCTCATGCCTGTAATCCCAGCTCTTTGGGAGGCTGAGGAGGGCAGATCACTTGAGGTCAGGAGTTTGAGACTAGCCTGGCCAACATGGTGAAACCCTTTTGTCTCTACTAAAAATACAAACATTAGCTGGGCGTGGTGGCACCCACCTGTAATCCCAGTTACTCGGGAGGCTGAGGCATAAGAATCACTTGAACCTGGGAGACAGAAGTTGCAGTCAGTTGAGATGCACCACTGAGCTCAGCCTCAACAACAGAGCGAGACTCCATCTCAATAAATAAATAAATAAATAAATAAAAGAGAGAAAGAAAAGAAAGAAATCAGTAAAAACAAACAAAAGTGTTCTCCAAAAGAGGCTAAATGGAGTATTTAAAATGTTTGAAAAATGCTTACCCACAGTCGTGTATAAATAATGCCAAATAATCCCAGTTAATCCGTGTTTAACCCAGTAATGTTGCCCCTTACTTCACCACAGAAAACTCTTTCCAAAGACACTATTATTAACATCTACTAAAAAAAAAATGATTTGGTGGATCACATTTTGTGGAACATTTTTGCAAAGCCTTAAACTAAAGGTGTATTAGTTTTTTCCTTTCTCAGCAGAAGCCAAGGAGCCACACTTAATGCTGAGACCCCAACTGTCCCAGCCTCCCTGCTGCTCTTTCTTTCTGTGGGCAGCCTTGGGGTGAAGGGGCGGCTACCCTGCTGCCTTGCCTTAGGGAACTGCCGTATCTTCTCTGGGTTCTGACAGGTATAAATTGTCAATCATAAGTCATGTTAGGCAAATGGCATGATAACTTGATGAATTTTCAGCAACTCTCATCACCTCTGCTGACAGAGAACAGATGCAGCATTGAAAGCAAGGAGGCTGGAGCTAGATAATTTTCCCAAAGTGTAGTCACTAATGAGTGATGCCACCTACATGCCCACCTGCTTAAAGGCGTGGGTGTTCCAAGCTCCAGGATCTCTGGAGAAGCCTTGAACGTGTTGCCTTCCTGGGGGTCCCAATAAGATGGCCGAGGTCCATGATGCTCATCTCAAATTTGAATTGCTGAATTCATTTAGGAAGAAGGTACTATGAAGGGGAAGAGGCAGTTAGATATCATGAAGGGAATCTAAATTTAGGAGTCAGGACAACACGTTGAATGCCGAGAACAGAGCCTACCATCAACTGCTTCATGCGGCTTTAGGCTATGCCTCAGTTTCCTCCTTGATAGGTAATCAGGAGATCAGGTCCAGCAGAGGCTCTGAAAGAACACTAATGTCATGTCCTATTCAAAGTCCAGGTAGCCCACTAGGCACAGTGGCTCAAGCCTGTAATCCCAGCACTTTGGGATGCCAAAGTAGGCGGATCGCAAGGTCAGGAGTTTGAGACCAGCCTGGCCAATATGGTGAAACCCTGTCTCTACTAAAAATACAAAAATTAGCTGGGCATGGTGGCACATGCCTGTAATCCCAGCTACTCGGGAGGCTGAGGCAGGAGAATTGCTTGAACTGGCACCAGGGAGGCAGAGGTTGCAGTGAGCCCATATTGTGCCACTGCACTCCAGCCTGGGCTACAGAGTGAGACTCCATCTCAAAAACAAACAAAAAACAAACAAACAAAAACAAAAACAAAATCCAAATGGCTTCACCCTGTGGCTCTCAGTGGATGTGTATTCATCACAGGGTTCACCATGGAGCAACAGTAAAATTGAGGGCCATTCCCTAGGGGCCAGGCACTGCATTGGACACTTTCCATAGGGTAGAAGTGAAAATACAACATGCGTGGGTCCCAGCAGTGAATGCCTTGGTGAGCTGCCCCAGTCTGCTGTTCAGGACTCAAGCACTCATTTCCTTAGCTGCTGGGGGTGTCACTGCTGAAGGTTCACAACTGAGTCCCCACCTCCTCCAGCACTGCCCTCTGCTGGACATCAACCCCCACCCACAAGAGCCTCCAGGGCCTAATCAGTGAGAGGCTTTAAAGACCCAGCTCTCCTTTCCCAATTCATGAGGGTCATCCAGCCCCCAACATTCCTGAGGAGCCAGCCGAGGAGGCCTCTATTGAGGCTATGTCCCAGTTTGACTTCTCCATCTGCCCAATCCCACTTCCCTGGCTCCCTAAAGCATACCCCATAAACCTGCTCCTATAACATAGCCTCATCTCAGTCATTGTCTCAGGAAACCCAGCGGACAATGAGTAGTCCACCATATGCCAGGGTCTGTACAAGCACTTTACCTGTGTGACTTTATTCAATCCCTTCAGTAGCCCTGTGGTGAATCCCTTCCATAGGTGAGGCTCAACAGTTAGGTGACACGTCCCAGTTTAAAGTGGCTCTGACAGGGCACAGCATACTTCCTAAATACTTCCTATGGGCCATGCTGAGTTATGTGATGGCATAAGAACAGGAGCGGAAGAGGGCAGCAGGAAGAGGAACTGTCCCTTGGAGAGATTTTTCCTCATTCTTCCATAAGTAAATGCCCCACACACATCATTCTCCATTCTAACCCATCCTCTGCTGCTTCTCAGCCCTAGCTACAATTTCCTATTTTTTTATGTTTTTACCTATTGACTTTTGACTTGTTGGCCATTGGAATGACCATGTCTGTTTTGCTCACAACTGTCTCCCACCACTCTATTGGATATTATGCATTGTATTAATATGTATATTACATAGTCATTTGACAGCCTACTGCCTCCCCAGTCCCCAACACATGTGAGCTCCATGAGAGCAAGGGCTTCCTCTGTTTGACTCACCACTTAAATTTCCAATCTGGTACAGAGATTGACACATAGTAAGAGTGAATAACCCATTTTTTAAAGAATGCACATATTATGAATGAATGAAGTGTTAAGCATAATGTCGACAAATAAATTCACATGTGCAGGAAAAGACTCAAACCATCAATGGCCAACATTGATTGGGCATCCTGTTTCTAGAACTGAATTAGGATTTGGGTTTGTGATCCTAACCACCCCTCCTCCACCCTCCTCTCTCTCTCTCTCTCTCTCTCTCTCTCTCTCTCTCTCTCTCTCTCACACACACACACACACACACACACACACACCCCCTCTCTCTCTCTCTCTTAGAGTTTTGTTGGAGTAAGAAAAAGGAGGAATAGAGCAGTTGTCTTTTAGTCCAAGGGAAAACATGCACAGTTTATTCAAAAAGCCTTTTTCTAATAGCATTATGGATACAGAAGTAAGTAAGCCATATGGGCTTTTTGTCTAGGAAAGAATCTGAATGTTTCTCCATTAATTACAAGGCTCAAGAAGAAAATGACTTGGATTGTGGCACTACTGAGTGAGGGTCGTGCTATGCTACAGCTCGGTGAGTATCTCAGGATGCCTAACAAATGGTACCAGCAACTCCAGCACTCATCCTGGAGTGCTGAGATTGTTACTTAGCATCCTGGTTAGGACCTAGGTGCCTGCTATTCCTTCAGGAAGGAAACCTAAGTGACTCCACATGATAGATAGATTGCGAGGGACCAGAGAAGAGTCAGGGAGATTTGAAGAGAGAATATATAGAGGCCAGAAACACCTATCCAAAGAATGACAAAGCAAAGCAAATTCTATAAAGGGGAAAGGAGAAGGCTGCCTCCAGAGCCAGTTGCCACGTCTGGCACAGTTGATTAATGAATCAAGCTTTAAATATTCTGGCAAGAAAGAGACAAGAAATGTGGTGTTTACAGTTTCATTGTAAGCTTTCTTTTTTGAGTAAAAAAAACCTTATGAGTTTGGAATTTTAAAGTGTGGGATTGTTTGAGATTCAACTCCACATGTAGAGAGTCTCATTAAATCTGTAGTTTTGACCGTGACCACAAAATCCAGCTTTTTATTGTGCCTTCTGCTAATTAGAGCTGGGATTTTGCATTTTATTGCTTTAATCCTGTAGTTGTTCTAGAAACTTGGATTATCACATTGAAAGGGAGGTGGTTTAAGGTAAACATGTCGGGTCCTTGCTGTGCTTCATTTAAAGGATAAGTGATAATATCTTTATATTTTAAAAAAGGAGAGAGAGGCAGAGCCTTTTTCTATCTCCTCTGGCATGCAGAGGAAACTTTCAGTGTACACTACCCTTTTGAGAACATAGTGGTGGGGGGTAATCTATCCCATGGTCTTTGCTGGCACTGACAACCTTTGCCAAGACTTAGCTGGGACCCAGCAAGTCACCTAAATGATCAGGCTCTGAAGTGATACTGCCCTCACAGCTGAGTGACAACAGATAACATTTGCAGGTTAGGGAGAGATTATGCTCTAGGTGACAGCCCTGCCATTGTCTTTCTTTCCCAAATAATGGGTCTTTCTGAAAGCTGTTGACAACTAATGTTGGTAACACCCAAGAATTAGTCAACCGGGGACAGACTGAACAGATTGATGTGCGAAGAGTGTGGGGTATCTGCAGACTATGGCCTATCCCAGAGAGAGTGAGCCGTTCCCAAGGCAGGGTGGGGAAGAGAGGACTGATGGAGGACCTCAGTGATCACACAGATGTTTGATGGAATTGAACAACTGGAATGTTATTTAGTCTTAAAAATGGAGATCTTGCCATTTGCAACAAGAATAAACTTAAAGAATTGCATGCTAAATGAAATAAACCAATCTCAGAAAAATACTGGATAATAGTATTTATATGTAGAATCTAGAAAAGAAATGAATACATAGAAACAGAGTAGAGAGGTGATTACCAGGATGTGGGAAGTGGGGACAAGTGGGAAATATCCATTAAAGAATAAAAAGTTGTAGTTACATAGGATAAGTAAGTCTAAGATCAAATTAAAACATGAGGACTATAGTTAATAATGTATATTATACCGAAAATGTGCTAAGATAAATTTTTGGTACTCTTACCACAAAAAAAGACTATATGAGATAATAAATATATTAATTTACTTGATTATAGTAATCACTTCTGAATTATATGTATATCAAAGCATAAAGTTTTACACCTTAAATACATACAATAAAAATATTTTGAAAACCCAACTCATGCTCTCTTTCTCTCTCTCTCCATAGTATCCATATTTTTCATTATATGTGGCACTTTCTGTATTCTCAATCAAGTTTATTTTCCTGACCCCTGGCTGAGCCAGCTATCACAGTGTGATCTTTCTCTCTTTAGTTCACTACCATCCATATCACCAAGTCAACTTCTCCAGTCTTCTTAGTCTGTATTTTCTCTCCATCTCCACTGTCTCTACTCTAGTAAGGACTGTGTTACCACATTTCCGTGTCACTGTAGGGTCCGCCTGGGAGCTTGATCTCTACTCAGGCCCATTCTCTGCTATTCTCTTCACTAAAGCAAGAACAATGTTTCTACAACTCAAATCTGTCAATAGCCTTTAGCAAAAGTGCAATTACTTAGAGTTGCACATGAAGTTCTCTAAATCCCTGGTGACTTTTTCATTATTTTCTTTGTCACACCCTCTAGTCACATCCAGCAGCTGCCAGCTGACCAGCAGCCAGCTCAGGGTAAAATCCTGCCAGGTCTGTAGAGTTGGTTCTACGGTTTAAAGTGCTAATTACACATTAAACATCACTGTTGTGCTAATAGCTAACCAAATAAATTTGCACTGCTGACCAGTTTCCATCAGAAAAATCTAGAAAAAGAAGATCAAATTAAATAAAAGTAGAAATGAGAAAAAATAAAATATAGAATAGCGAGTCAATAAAATATATCTTTAGCAAACAGAGAAAACCAGTGAAATCAAAAGTTAGCTCTTTGGAAAGATCAACAAATTCGATAAGCTTCTAACCAAACTTATAAAAAGAAATTGAGATGGCACATATGACCAATACCAGTAATGAAGATGGGATATCACCTTAGCTCCCAGGACATTAAGATCGTAGGAAGAAAATATAAATACAACAACAAATATAACAACTTAGTCAAAATGAATTAATTTCTTGAAAGACAAAAATGACCAAAAGAGATATAAAAATTCTTAAAACCACAGGTCATAACCTCATGACCTCTTATAAACATCAATTTAAAAACTCATGACCTGGTGATCTACCCACCTTGGCCTCCCAAATTGCTGTGATTATAGGACTGAGCCACCGTGCCCGGCCACCAGGACAGGAGTTCGAGACCAGCCTGACAAAAATGGT